TTCCACCATACAGCAGGACATCAACCAACTAGTCAGAACAAAACAAGATTAAACTAAACCCAACAAAGTGTAAAGTCATGTACACCTGTTTCAGCCACAATCCCAACCTACCTCCGCCACACTTGAGGTGGTGTCCAGCCAAAGGTGATTCTGACATGTATTGACCCAGGAGTGTGAATACTAGATATTTCTGTATTTCATTTTCAATAAATTTGCTACAAAATCTAAAAACATGTTTTCACTTTGTCATTATGGGGTACTGTGTGTAGATTGGTGAGAAAAAAAGTATACATTTAATCAATTTTTAAGTCAGGCTGTAACACTACAAAATATGGAATAGTTTAAGGGGTGTGAAAACTTTCTGAAGGCACTGTACATATAAAGTGCGTTAAACAGTATGTAAAAAGTATTACAGTGACCAGTGTTCATTGACTCTATGTACATTGGGCAGCAGTCTCTAAGGCTCAGGGCAGGGTACTGGGCAGAGGCCGGCTAGGGGTGACTGTTTAACAGTCTGTTATACAAGTGGATGGTTTTAAGAGGAACTGAGGCATATTACTTATATAACTTTGTCAATATTGATCTGTGTCAGAGATAATAGAATCTGCGGCCACGGAGAAGCCGGGAAAACGGGAGGGCTCGCTAGTATCCCACATTCCATGTGTCTCTCCTCTAGCCCGTCGCCACCTGTCCCCTGGCTCCCCCTCCACGTCCTGTTCCCCCGTTGCGCCTCGTCGGGTGCAGTCGGCTTTTACAGTGGACCGGATCCTGGACTGCCGGCGGGTGGGGAAGGGTCTCTTATTTCTGGTGGACTGGGAGGGTTATGGGTCGGAGGAGCGTTCCAGGGTGCCCAGGAGGGACATTCTGGACCCAGGGCTGATGTGAGGTTGGTGTGAGGTGTGAGCCAGGTGTGGTGCAGGATAGACAGTAGGCAGTAGGCAAGGATGGTGAAACAAGGATCTTTACTGGTGGTCCCAAAAGCCAGGATACAAGACAACAGACTATTCACAAAAATAAATGAGGGGCACATAGGTCTCCCAAAACAGGCTGACAGCTAACAATACGAAATACTAACTCTGACTGAAAACCACAAAGACACAGGGAGAACACTTCTCGAGTACCTGTACTACCGTCTCGTGATCAGACACTGATACGTACTGCTTGACATCAAGGAACTAGCAGAGAAAACTGAGCAAGGGAACACAGGGAAGTGAGGGCATAAATACACAGGTGAATCAGATAGACACAGGTGACACCAATAGGCATATAATTAGTCCCGACTGGGAGTGAGGAGGTGCCTATGGTTGTCGGAGGATGACACCTAGTGGGTCGCTCCGGAACTGCGACCCACTCCTGTAACAGTATACAACTCAGGGAGCTTTCAAAAGCCTCATAAAGAAGTGATTGGTAGATGGTAACAATAACAAATCAGACATTGAATATCTCTTTAAGCATGGTCAAGTTAATAATTATGCTGTGGATGATGTATTAAACAACCTAGAGAAAACAAATATATAGTAATCCTTCTGAACTGAGCTGCAGGACAGGAAGGAAACTGCTCAGGGATGTCACCATGAGGCCATTGGTGATTTTAAAATAGTTACAGAGTTCAATGGTTCTGAAGGGAGAAAACTGAGGATGGATCAACAACATTGTAGTTACGCCACAATAATGACCTAAATGACAGAGTGAAAAGAAGAATACAAATATATAGAAAAATGCATCCTGTGTGCAACAAGGCACTAAAGTAATGGCAAAGGAAAAAACTTTTTGGCCTAAATGCAAAGCCTTATGTTTGGGGCAAATCCAACACAACACTGAGAAACTGCCTCCTTATTTTCAAGCATGGTGGTGGCTGAATTATTACATTTACATTTTAGTCATTTAGCAGACGCTCTTATCCAGAGCGACTTACAGTTAGTGAGTGCATACATTATTTTTTTATTTTTCATACTTCCCCCCATCGGAATCGAACTCACAACCCTGGCGTTGCAAACGCTGTGCTCTACCAACTGAGCTACATCCCTGGTATGGGTATGCTTGACATTGGCAAAGACGGGAGTTTTTCAGGATACAAATAAATGAGAAGGAGCACTGGCTAAATCCTAAAGGAATACCTGCTTCAGTCTGCTTTACACCAGACACTGGGAGAGGAATTCACCTTTCAGCAGTGTTGCTTACCAAGAAGACAGTGAATGTTCCTGAGAGGCCAAGTGACAGTTTTGACTTAAATCTGCTTGAAAAGCTATGGCAAGACTTGAAAATTGCTGTCTAGCCATGATCCTCAACACCTTGACAGAGTTTGAATAATTTTTAAAAGAATAATGGGCAAATATTGCACAATCCAGGTGTGAAAATCTCCTAGAGACTTACCCAAGAAGACACAGCTGTAATCGCTGCCAAATGTGTATTGACTCAGGGGGGTGAATACTATCAGTATCTATTCAAGGTATATTAGTGTTTTATTTGTCATTATTCTTTTTTAAATGTTAGAGTATTTTGTGTAGATCAATGTCAAAAAAATCACAATAAAATTAATTTCAATCCCATTTTGCAACGCAACAAAATGTGAAAACAATTCAAGGGGGGTGAATACTTATGATACCCACTGCATATGTGATACTTCCACCATACAGCAGGACATCAACCAACTTGTCAGAACAAAACAAGATTAAACTAAACCCAACAAAGTGCAAAGTCATGTATACCTGTTTCAGCCACAATCCCGACCCACCTCCGCCACACTTGAGGTGGTGTCCAGCGCCAAAGTGCTCGGTGTGACATTCCAAGCCAACCTAAAATGGGACATGCACATCTCCGACATTACCACCAAAGGGTACAAACAGAAGGCTCTTCATGATGAATCATCTTCGCTACTTCTACCTCCCTCTGAAGACCTTCTGACAGTCTACACCTGCTTTGTCCGTCCAGTGCTCGAGAACGCCGCCCCGGTATGGCAACCAGGTCTCCCAGCCCACCAACACAACTTGAGAAGATCCAATGGCGTGCAACCAAAATCATCATGGGCCCCAGCTACATCTCCTATGACTGCATGCAATGACCTGGGCTTGGAGACCTTGGAGTCCTGCTGCACACACCTATGCAGATCCTTTGCTCAGAAGCTTGCAAAATCCCAGGAAAACAGCAAATGGCTGCCTCAGACGAGAAGCCATGTCAGTAGCAGATCCACACGATCCAGTCACAAATGAAACCTTATTTCTACTCGGACTGACAGATATTACAACAGCCCTATGCCTTACTTACTTTAAGCTGTGAAATGGTTGTTTCTGGTGAATTTTGAAGGGAAAATACATCCAAATTCTCACCTGATGACCTGTTCGTCCTCTCACTGCCTCAACATGGGCAGTGCTCTCTCTTTCTCGCTCTCTCTACTGACTATCTCTGATCCCTACCATGACAACCAAATGAAATCAAAATGTAGGCAACAACTATTTTGTTATAACACTTGGGCTACAGTCAGCAAAGATGAGCAGTTGAACTGGATAGTGCCTTATAACTCAAATTCTCACTTGATGACGTGTTCGTCCTCTCCCTACATCTTGGTACTCTCTCACTCTCACTCTCTGTATTGCCTGTCTTTGACCCCTGCCATAATCATATGTCCAAATACCATTATCATATAACAAAAACGGTTGGCCTTAACAATGATGGGGTTAGCTTATTAACATGAATTAGATTCTGCTTTTATTACCTTAATTATTTATTTACTGGCTGGCAATATGTATAGCTAGCTAGCTGACTACATATTATTAATTGTAGAGTGTAGTAAGCTAGCTAGCTATGTAGCCATTCATTCATTTACTTATAGTCCTCTGCATTCCCAAATACAGTAAAATCTTATGTCCTCCTGTACTTTTCTCCTCTTTGGCGTTGGCACCTCCATTAAGGGAACTAGCTACTGTTTCACTAGGCTGAACACTGACTCACTGAGTTCATCTGAAACTGCAGTTGAAAAGGAAAAGAGGAAGATCCAGATACTGGGCTAGCTTTTGTGCTACGTTAGCCTAGCTAAAATAGCCAACCTAGCATTGCATCACTTGGTATAAAACTATGTTTACACAATATTATCTCATCACCAATAGTTACACAACAACATGTTTATTAACTTTTACTCATTTTAAACTTTCAAAACATTTATACATTGGAGCGCACGTGAATATAGCTACCTCTCTTCAGCAAACACCACAAAGAGCAAGAGAGAGTGCATAGTGCGCACTGCTTAACTGTTACAGTGCATTTCCACCCTCAGAAAGCTAGCAAGCAGGCTAGGTGGTGCTAGGTCTCAACAGCCAATCCAGTAGTGGCTGGAAGCTATAGTGAGCTTCGATTGGTCAATAGCATTGCGATATTGCGGAGTATTTGCATAAAGTTCAGCTTTCCCCAACCTGTTTGCACTCCCTCACCCATGCTTGCATTGCCCAACGGTCCCCGCCCACTTCACTTCCCTCCATTGAAAAATAATAATGTGTCATCGCCCCCATTGTGTTATGTGGAAATGCACTGTTACTGCAGACCAAAGCAATTCATTGCAGACCGATGAAAAGGGAAAGAGAGGAGAAATTGCGCATTGCTCCGTTCTCCATACCACATTTCTAAATTGCACCTTCAGTATGCTACTAATCTAACTCTCAACAGTAAGTTGAGACCCGACTGAGCTCCTAAACATATTTATAAATAAAAAAGCGGCCGCTTATGTCGCTTATTGGCTGGGCCGGCACTGCTTCAATGTCTACATACAAATGCTAAAAAGCTATCACTACAACCCAGTATAGACAGGCTAAATCAGGCACATGCTATATAAAAATAAAAATAAAGGTTTTATTGTCACATACACCTGGTCAGCCATAGTTTTACAGGGTCAGCCATAGTAGTACGCACGCCCCCCCCCCCCCCCGGAGCAAATGAGGGTTAAGTGCCTTGCTCAAGGGCACATCGACAGCTTTTTCACCTTGTCGTAAAAGCACTTCCCCAGCGGAGCCTCAGTTGTTATTCTTTAACTCAAACCTGCTGTACACCTGCTTGGACTTCATCTTGTTGTAGTGGTTGACCAGGTCCAGTTTGCTGTGGCCTAAGGTCATGCGTTTCTGGTCCTGCCGGTTTATCATGGGGGGCGGATGCGGGGGAATCTGCTTGGTCTCCGGCTCTGTCTGGGAGAGATCTGGCACCCCAAAGACTGTGCTGTGAGGAGGAGACCTCTTGAAGACGTAGGTGTCCTTCTCGGTTTGGGGGAGGTTGTCCTTCTTGGTTGGGGTGAGGAAGAAGTCAGTGAGCTTATTGAGGAGGGGGTTAGAGGGAGTCCTCTGCTTGGCAGAGAGTTTGTTGTCCAGCACTGGAGACTGTGTCTTGGGGCTACTGTTGAATAGGCTTGACTTGTGGTTGTACAAACCTAGAGCCTGAAACTTGGACGTGGTTCTGCCAATGTTTGGTCGGATGAACTCCATGGGGCTGGACTTGGACCACTCTATCCCGACCGAATGGCCGATCCCAGAGGAAGGGCGCTCTGAAACTGGGCTGTGATTGGTCCAATTGTGGTAGCCTCTCGTGCCTTGGGTGGTCTGATTCTGAGGGGTGGGAGTTAGTGCCCCTCCTCTCCTCTCAGGGCTCAGGTGAAAGTTGCTGGGCTCTTTCTTGTCTTGACCTTGAGTGACCGTATTTGTCATGTTGGGTGCTGCCTTGACGCTGGACATGCTGCTACTGGATTGGCTGCTGGAGTTCTCCGAACTCAGAACCCTCTCCCTATCCTGTGCCCTCTCGGGGAAGAAGTCTAGCCCCATGTTGGGCGCCATAAAAGGGTAGGGGTGGTAGGGGAGACCCTCCTCATCGGGGTTATGGAAACAGTCAATGATCTGAGAGTCAGCGTACAGGCAGCGGAATTCTCGGTCGAAGCTGTCTGTGATTCGCCCAGAGAAGTGCATCACCAAGTTGCTGTGGACCTGCGCCGAGAGCCAGCTGAAACTACAGGAAAAGGAACATGATGGAAAACAATGACGTCTTCAACAATTACAGTACAGTACATGTACAGTATGTACACAAATGTACACAGTACACAAATGTACGCAGTACACAATGGGCTCAATATTCCGTCAGTACATCCCTACTCAGTAATGTTTTACTTAAAAACAATTTACCTGTACTGCACAAAAACGTTTAAACTTATAAATGGATTGCGCACTATTTACAAAACCTACAGGGAAAATATATGTAAGTACATCCTGTGCAAATAGTAACTTATTCTGGTGAAAAACCAACATATCTTTCTATCAGCTTTAGACGACATGCAGCAAGCAATATGAGACAGTTTGACCACACTTTACTTAAGGGCGTATAGTTATAATACATTATTTGTTTTAAGCATTATGAGGCCTTATAAAGTTTCATAAATCAACTTATCTTATGTCATTCTATGTTGCAATTTCCAACAGGCAAAAAATGACTGATTCATTATAACATGAATCTTAGATGAAATGTACATAGTTCATAGATACTTTTGACAAGTCAAAACCATAATGTGTTATACCTGTATTATAATAGTGTATTATAATATCTGTGTTATCAACAGTTTTTTAGGGTGTTTTTAAACAACCAAACAAATATGAACAGGCTTACTTTGAATCACATTTGAATATTGAACCAGAAGAACAACTTGGGTACATAGCTTCCCAGTGTTCCTCTGTATGTGAGCAACTGTTTTTGTAGTGTCATATAAGAGATGTTTGAAGTACCTATTTATTTCACTTTAATTGTTGTAAAGCCTGATAGTCAAATATGCCAACTTGCCTTTGAGTTCAAGTTTAGCACATATGAACAAACAGCAGACTACGGACAGAACCACTTCCAAATGTAAGGCATTTTGTTTGAATTTCAAGATGAACATAACATGGAACTACAGATACAGTGAGGGAAAAAAGTATTTGATCCCCTGCTGATTTTGTACATTTGCCCACTGACAAAGAAATGATCAGTCTATAATTTTAATGGTAGGTTTATTTGAACAGTGAGAGACAGAATAACAACAACAAAATCCAGAAAAACACATGTCAAAAATGTTATAAATTGATTTGCATTTTAATGAGGGAAATAAGTATTTGACCCCTCTGCAAAACATGACTTAGTACTTGGTGGCAAAACACTTGTTGGCAATCACAGAGGTCAGATGTTTCTTGTAGTTGGCCACTAGGTTTGCACACATCTCAGGAGAGATTTTGTCCCACTCCTCTTTGCAGATCTTAAGGTTTCGAGGCTGATGTTTGTCAACTCGAACCTTCAGCTCCCTCCACAGATTTTCTATGGGATTAAGGTCTGGAGACTGGCTAGGCCACTCCAGGACCTTAATGTGCTTCTTCTTTATCCACTCCTTTGTTGCCTTGGCCGTGTGTTTTGGGTCATTGTCATAGTGGATACCCATCCACGACCCATTTTCAATGCCCTGGCTGAGGGAAGGAGGTTCTCACCCAAGATTTGACGGTATATGGCCCCGTCCATTGTCCCTTTGATGCGGTGAAGTTGTCCTGTTCCCTTAGCAGAAAAACACCCCGAAAGCATAATGTTTCCACCTCCATGTTTGACGGCGGGGATGGTGTTCTCGGGGTCATAGGCAGCATTCCTCCTCCTCCAAACACGGCAAGTTGAGTTGATGCCAAAGAGCTCAATTTTGGTCTCATCTGACCACAACACTTTCACCCAGTTCTCCTCTGAATCATTCAGATGTTCATCGGCAAACTTCAGACGGCCCTGTATATGTGCTTTCTTGAGCAGGGGGACCTTGCGGGCGCTGCAGGATTTCAGTCCTTCACGGCTTTGTGTGTTACCAATTGTTTTCTTGGTGACTATGGTCCCAGCTGCCTTGAGATCATTGACAAGATCCTCCCGTGTAGTTCTGGGCTGATTCCTCACCGTTCTCATGATCATTGCAACTCCACGAGGTGAGATCTTGCATGGAGCCCCAGGCCGAGGGAGATTGACAGTTATTTTGTGTTTCTTCCATTTGCGAATAATCGCACCAACTGTTGTCACCTTCTCACCAAGCTGCTTGGCGATGGTCTTGTAGCCCATTCCAGCCTTGTGTAGGTCTACAATCTTGTCCCTGACATCTTTGGAGAGCTCTTTGGTCTTGGCCATGGTGGAGAGTTTGGAATCTGATTGATTGATTGCTTCTGTGGACAGGTGTCTTTTATACAGGTAACAAACTGAGATTAGGAGCACTCCCTTTAAGAGTGTGCTCCTAATCTCAGCTCGTTACCTGTATAAAAGACACCTGGGAGCCAGAAATCTTTCTGATTGAGAGGGGGTCAAATACTTATTTCCCTCATTAAAATGCAAATCAATTTATAACATTTGTGACATGCGTTTTTCTAGATTTTTTTATTGTTATTCTGTCTCTCACTGTTCAAATAAACCTACCATTAAAATGATAGACTGATCATTTCTTTGTCAGTGGGCAAACGTACAAAATCAGCAGGGGATCAAATACTTTTTTCCATTACTGTATATTTCCAGTAAACTCTACAGGTAAATGCTTTTGCATTGACGGAGGGCTTGGCACATGCGTACAAACATAATTGCTTGCGTTCTCACCCACAAGTTAATAATAATAATAATAATATGCCATTTAGCGGACACTTTTATCCAAAGCAACTTACAGTCATGTGTGCATACATTTTTACGTATGGGTGGTACCGGGGATCGAACCCACTACCCTGGCGTTACAAGCACCATGCTCTACCAATTGAGCTACAGGGGACCACTGTTAAACCCTTGTAGCCCATCCTACCTGGTCCTTACCCAGTAATGAAACATCATCACCTGAGCAAACAGCTGACACTTCTGACTTTCTGTCTGAACATAGAGACAGAATATAAACCTACAAAGCTGCATATTCCCCATAAAGTGAAGTGAGACATAGAAAAAGTGTAAGGCCAAGGAGGCAAAGTACAGAATCATCTTTACTTCCTCTACACACCTTCCTTTAGTCTACACAAAGTCCATAATACGCCTGAGTGTTCTCAAAACCACGTTTGTTCAACTGTTGGCACTACAATGTAGTGTGTGGGTGCATGTTAGAGTAAGTTCTTCAATTGTTAAGACACACTTACTGAGACATATTTTGTAACACCTCCTTACATTACTTGCTATTGAGCATTTAACTGTAATTACAATTCTTGCTCAAGTGTTCTTGGCTTGTTTCAAATGCTTCCAATTCTATCAGTCTTAAAAGAAAAGCACTGTAGGCTACTAGCGTTGGGAGACATTGAATCTACATCAAAGATAAATTTGCGATAAATGCAATGGTTATTTAGCTGTTATAACGGTTAAATAGTGGAAAATTACAAAATGTCCCCGGATGCCGTCATGATAACGTTTTCTTTATTAAACCATTTATCAGTAAAAACTGCTTACAGACAACCATCAAAGTCTGCTCTCTATTTAATGGGATCATAGCTACCCAGCCTTGCCTTACATGACAAACACTTGCAGGACAAGGTGACCTTCATCCTAGAGGACCTGTCCCATCCACTCTCCGAAGAGTTTGACCTATTGGCTTCTGGAAGCCGGTACAAGGTACCAAGGCTCAAGTGCAGGACAGCACAAAGCACTTAGGAATGGGATGTTTACCTAATGACTAAAATGAAAATTGTGTTTGCCTGAGTCACCGTACTAAGTAATTCAGAGTGTCACCCAATATTGGTGGATAGACAATGTCCAGAGCAGGGCTAGCATTTAGCTGAAGCAGCGTACCATACAATATACGAATTCTCAGTTCCAGCTTATCTTTATTTTGTATTTTATTAGGATCCCAATTAGCTGTTGCTGAAGCAGCAGCTACTCTTCCTGGGGTCTACAATATTGCTTTACATTTACTGTAAATGAATAGATAACTAAATGGTATGTATTTTCCCAAGACACAAGAGTACTTACCTGTATGACCCAGCAATGACTTCCTCACAGTCTATAATCATAAACTTTTCCTGGACCTGCCCGGTGAACTTTTTTCCACTTTTAGTGCAGTACGTATCTCCACACACACTGCGTATTCTCATGTTCTGGAAAGGCAATGAAAATGTATGATTTAGTGGAAATAATAACACCAATAAGATTAACAATATCTTATTGGTGTAACAAAGTCTGTCTATGTGAAATTATGTAAATGTGGCAAACACTAAATTACACTAGATTCATTTTAATCTTTAAATCTATCATGTCTTTAAGTCTATTATGATGTACTGTATGTTTGTCTCTTGTAGTTGTCTCAGTTTTCACACAGTTTCCATACTGCACATTGTAAATTGAATGCATGCACACACACAAAATGAGAGAGAAAGAGAGGCAGACATACAGATAGAAGTCCTGTTTATACCTGGTGCTAATATGGGTCCTTTGTCCTGATCTTGTCTACATTCTGATTGGGCCCACATTTCCAGAAATGTGTCTACACATGGTATTAAAATGTGTCTATTATCCATCAACTGTGTCTGCACTGTGACTGGTCCCTTCCTTTATGCAAATTATTTTACAGCTATTCTTTCAAAATATGATTTATTTATTGTAAGACACATATTGATGTAATCAATCAATGGTGCCACCTGTCAGTGATTTTAGAGGGCAGAATCATGATGATTCAAATGGTTTCTCTGTCCAGATCTGTCTACACTTGTAAGATATCCAGACACAATGCGTGTCTGACTACCTCCGGAGGTAGGCAGGATGATCTGATCACAATCAGATCACAATGTGTCTTTTGATGTCTAAACCTGTTTGAAAATATGGGAACAATCAGAATTTGGACAAGATCAGGACAAGTTAGAACCAGGTATAAATGGGGCTAGAGAGAGATGGAGACAGTGAGGGGGAGAGAGAGAGAGAGAGAGAGAGAGAGAGAGAGAGAGAGAGAGAGAGAGAGAGAGAGAGAGAGAGAGAGAGAGAGAGAGAGAGAGAGAGAGAGAGAGAGAGAGAGAGAGAGAGAGAGAGAGAGAGAGAGACATTCTCTTCAGCAATCCATCCATCAACTCCCTCAGGAACATTTCTGTACAGTGTAAAAACAAATCTGTAAAATGTACAGTAACTTACTGACAGCAAATTGGCCAGTAAATTACTGTAATTTATTTTACAGTACAGCTACTATAATCAATTTGACAGTACCAAAAATGTTACATTAATCTAATTTACAGTACCAAGTCAGATACTGTAATCAATTGTACAGTACCAATTACAATTACTACATATGACATCAATTACCCAAGTGACATCTACCCAGTGTTCTTTGCAAGTTTTCATTTTTACATTTACACATTTACATTTTGGTCATTTAGCGGGCACTCTTGTCCTAAGCAACTTACAGTCGGTGCGTTCAACCAAGATTGATACAAAAAAACATATATCACAGTCAATGCAAGTAAAAGGTTTCTGTAACCGTTAGTGAAAATATTCATGTAGTTAAGTTGTTCTTCAAAATAATTATAATTACAACAACATATATTATGATATATCTATAACTATCTCTGGATAGTGCCAATACATTTTTGAGATGTTCACAGTAACTTATTTTTTTACACATACATACATACATACACATACAGTGGGGAAAAAAAGTATTTAGTCAGCCACCAATTGTGCAAGTTCTCCCACTTAAAAAGATGAGAGAGGCCTGTAATTTTCATCATAGGTACACGTCAACTATGACAGACAAAATGAGGGAAAAAAATCCAGAAAATCAAATTGTAGGATTTTTAATGAATTTATTTGCAAATTATGGTGGAAAATAAGTATTTGGTCAATAACAAAAGTTTCTCAATACTTTGTTATATACCCTTTGTTGGCAATGACACAGGTCAAACGTTTTCTGTAAGTCTTCAAGGTTTTCACACACTGTTGCTGGTATTTTGGCCAATTCCTCCATGCAGATCTCCTCTAGAGCAGTGATGTTTTGGGGCTGTCGCTGGGCAACACAGACTTTCAACTCCGTCCAAAGATTTTCTATGGGGTTGAGATCTAGAGACTTGCTAGGCCACTCCAGGACCTTGAAATGCTTCTTACAAAGCCACTCCGTTGCCCGGGCGGTGTGTTTGGGATCATTGTCATGCTGAAAGACCCAGCCACGTTTCATCTTCAATGCCCTTGCTGATGGAAGGAGGTTTTCACTCAAAATCTCACGATACATGGCCCCATTCATTCTTTCCTTTACACGGATCAGTCGTCCTGGTCCCTTTGCAGAAAAACAGCCCCAAAGCATGATGTTTCCACCCCCATGCTTCACAGTAGGTATGGTGTTCTTTGGATGCAACTCAGCATTCTTTGTCCTCCAAACACGACGAGTTGAGTTTTTACCAAAAAGTTATATTTTGGTTTCATCTGACCATATGACATTCTCCCAATCCTCTTCTGGATCATCCAAATGCACTCTAGCAAACTTCAGACGGGCCTGGACATGTACTGGCTTAAGCAGGGGGACACGTCTGGCACTGCAGAATTTGAGTCCCTGGCGGCATAGTGTGTTACTGATGGTAGGCTTTGTTACTTTGGTCCCAGCTCTCTGCAGGTCACTCACTAGGTCCCCCCGTGTGGTTCTGGGATTTTTTCTCACCGTTATTGTGATCATTTTGACCCCACGGGGTGAGATCTTGCGTGGAGCCCCAGATCGAGGGAGATTATCAGTGGTCTTGTATGTCTTCCATTTCCTAATAATTGCTCCCACAGTTGATTTCTTCAAACCAAGCTGCGTACCTATTGCAGATTCAGTCTTCCCAGCCTGGTGCAGGTCTACAATTTTGTTTCTGGTGTCCTTTGACAGCTCTTTGGTCTTGGCCATAGGAGTTTGGAGTGTGACTGTTTGAGGTTGTGGACAGGTGTCTTTTATACTGATAACAAGTTCAAACAGGTGCCATTAATACAGGTAACGAGTGGAGGACAGAGGAGCATCTTAAAGAAGAAGTTACAGGTCTGTGAGAGCCAGAAATCTTGCTTGTTTGTAGGTGACCAAATACTTATTTTCCACCATAATTTTCAAATTAATTCATTAAAAATCCTACAATGTGATTTTCTGGATGTTTTTTTCTCAATTTGTCTGTCATAGTTGACGTGTACCAATGATGAAAATTACAGGCCTCTCTCATCTTTTTAAGTGGGAGAACTTGCACAATTGGTGGCTGACTAAATACTTTTTCCCCCACTGTACATACATATTTACATACATATATACACATACATATACATTTCCTTTAAAAATATATATTTCCCTTTATTTCTGTTCACAGAAACTTAATTACAGCTTACTGTAAATAACTATAATGTCAAAGCAAAGAAACACAGTCCAATACTGTAAAACGGACTAATAAACTGTAAGAAAGTTATATTTTACAGTATTTTACTGTAATTATAAGGGTTTGGAGCAAGAAGGCTGGCTGCTAGGCATTTGTATATTACAGCATATTAATGAATATTATATATTTTATATCACTTGCACTTCTATAGGCCTAAAGAATGGCTTCCAAACCTGGACTTACTTAAATATTCAACCATTAAAGGTTTAAGACCCACTGCCACTCTGATATGTCCCCTATATATATTTAATTGCTAGAGAACTACTACCACATATCACTTAAATTGGTACAGGACTCTCACTAACGAGTGTAACGAATATATCCACTTACAAGGCACGCCTTAAAATATATGTTAATGAGCCAGCGATTTACAGTATGCTGCATTAAATATACAGCAAAACAGCAATACGGTACTTTATTGTTGAATTGTATTAAAAAACTATTCAGCAATTGCTCATAGTGAATATGCAATTATATATTACAGCATACCAACTGATATTTGGTGTTTTATATCACTTGCACTTTAGACCTTAACAAAGACTTCTAAACTGACAGTGACTACAGGTCAAAACAGATCAAAAGGACATGGCTAGCCACTCAACCATTAATGGTTTGAGACTTGCTGCCATTCTGATCTGTCCCCTAAATAAATTAAATTGTTCAGGAACCACTTCCACATATCAGTTAAATTCGTACAGCATTCTTACTAACGGGTGCAACAAATATAGCCTCTTACAAGACACACCTCAAATATGTTAATGAGTCATAAACAACAATACCATGCACCCACTAGTGTTCAAAAGCTTTTTGGTGCTCTAAAAATGTGGTATGGTATTGTATTCTGAATTACAGTTAATTACTGGCAGCAATTGGCCAGCAAATTACTGTATATTTTCAGTACAAGGTTTTAGAATTCCTAAAATACAGTATATTACTGTATTCTGTGGGGGTAGAGCATTCTCATTCACGGGTGCAACAAATATAGCCTTTTACAAGGCATGTTTTCAAATATGTTAATGAGCCAGAGACTCTTTCCCCACCCACAACATTTTCCCACAATGCACAATAATAAATTCTGTAAACAGAAATTACAGAAAAGTCTTACAGTGTGCTGTAAAACACATTTACTGTCGTTAACTGTGCATTCTTACAGTGTAAGCCACACGTGTCAAACTCATTCCACGGAGGCCCGAGTGTCTGCGGGTTTTCGCTCCTGCCTTGTACCTGATTGATGAATCAAGGTCCCTAATTGGTAAGGAACTACCCACACCTGGTTGTCTAGGGCTTAACTGAAAGGAAAAAACTAAAACCTGCAGACACTAGGCCCTCCATGGAATGAGTTTGACACCCTTGCTGTAAGCCAACCAGGTGAACCCATGATCCACCACGTCACACCCTTCCACCATGACTTACACCCAGCTGAGAGTTCAGGATGTCCAGGGCTGCACACATGTCAGCAAAGTAGTTGAGATTCTTATCATCCAGGAGAATGTACACAGGGACCTTGCGTTTGTTCGAGGCCTCCATCAAGTCACATAGCAGATCAACATCTGTGAAGAGGTCCATGACCAAAGCTATAACCTGCATGCACAAGGAAAAGTTTATCAATACAGAAATGAAATTTTCTGACAACAGGGTGCGATGCTGTTATTTTCAGTTTGTTAATTTTATTTATAGGCCTATAATAATTATGTTGTTCATCACATCTGTATTTTGTATGTTTACATGTACCAGCCAGGTATGAACGATAATTAAAACTATCATATTTAAAAAAAAATCAGAATCACCTTTATTCACTAAGTACATTTATATTTACTTTGTAAAATGGTGCTATTGGTGCTATCAGCAAGAGCACCATTTTGGCTAGGATCAATGACACCATTTTCAATAGCTCATTGGGAAATGTTGACCGCTAGGTGTAATAGAGGGTGTGCAGGAGAATGGGAAGATACTCCCTTTTTAGCCTATTGAAAAAAATAGTAATATACCCCTTGATGAGCACAATATAATGCTCTCCTAATGAGCTTAACATATAGGGCATTATAACATTTTGCTTCATAAGGCCTTATAGTCATAGATGATTAAGAGCCGTTAGTAGCACCTATGCTGTGCATTATAATAATGCATTATGCAGAGCATGCTCATTAGGCATTATACATGCGCTTATAATGCATTATGAAGAGGGTATTCATAGAACATTGTAACAATCTTATCTAACACAGGCCTGCATGGCTTTTTGCCAAGGCAAACATGAGCTGGAGTCCTGTATGCCTCTGTAAAGACTGTTGTAAAACTTACTGCTCTCTCACTAGGCTACATTTTCTTCAAATGAACATGACACACACATAAAACAGGCTACAAAGAAACAAACCAAATAATAGCCTAGGCCTATTGGCTACTGTCTGTATGGTGATGCCTCTTGCTCCAAAACAAAACTTAAAAAGGCTTGTATTTATTTTATTTTATTTAACCTTTATTTAACCAGGAAGGGCTCATTGAGATTTAAAATCTCTTTTTCAAGAGCGTCCTGGCCAAGATAGAAAAAGGTAGAAAAAGGTAGAAAAATAACCCGTGCCTTTTAGGGACCATATTAGTCATTGGCCTTTTAAATGGTTTAAAATAAAATAATAATGGGCATATTTTTTTATATAATTCAATGACTTACATTTTTTGCTTTATTTATTAATGACCGAATGAGGTCTTTCAAATTGTGAGTCTTGTCCCGTTGGAAATAGATCTGTGTTTCTGAGGGTCCGTATCGTTGGGGGTTTTCTGGCCATCCTAGTTCCAGAATAGGTGGCTCCTCGTCGGACATCATTGGGAAATAGGTCCCGGAGGTAAGCTCCGAAACCGTATACCCCTCTCCAATGTCCCTGTCAGTGCCATTTGAGCTGTTGTTATCAGAGCTACAGTTTTTGGCTACATTCTCGGTAATATAACGAATCTCAAGCGGTGAGAGAAAGTTTAATTCCTTTTCCTCTGTCAGAACTCGTCTGTATTCCTTCTCCCCATACTCCAGCAGAGCGTCTGTTGCCAACCTGGCCGCCTCATTGTGGCTGAGTTCGAGCGTCGACCCTTTTCGCCATGGGTTCTTCACTTCTTCCAACCTGCTGGCGAGCTTACCAAGCGCTTTGCGCCCGGAGTTCTGTGTCGGCCGTAGCACGTCGGAGTTTATCATTCTGCCTGTGCAGCACAAAGGTAACAGGTGGCAGTGTCCTCTCGTGCTCTACAATACTCTCACATAGCAGATTTAAAATCTAAAAACAAAAAAAGACAAGTAGTTTCTTTATGAAAACAGCCTATGCTGAAATGGACTTGACTTCTCTAGTTGCCGATCATGACTGCGACTCTATTCCCACGGGGGCTTTTCTTATTGTTGTTCTGTTCAGAAGAACACCACCTCTTGCTCACCTGTATTTACCTGATGCGGGGGTATCCAACATGAACTGGCTCCACCTCTCGCTCACATGATATGAAATTGCAAACCTGTCCCTGGCGTCTCTCGTGGTAGCGCGTTTAAGGGAGAGCTTTAGCAAAAAATGTCCACCTCAATAGAGAAAAATTGTAAGAGAGTGAACATTATTTATAATAAGGGTTACATGGAGAACATCGGACCTCTGAAATGAAAATGGATGGCCCTCCCTTCAGCAAAACACACTGAGTATACCAAACATTAGGAACACTTTCCTAATATTGAGTTGCACACACCCCCTTTTGCCCTCAGAACAGCCTCAATTCGTCGGGGCATGGAATCTACAAGGTGTTGAAAGCGTTCCACAGGGATGCTGGCCCATGTTGACTCCAAAGCTTCCCAAAGTTGTGTCAACTTGGCTGGATGCCCTTTGGGTGATGGACCATTTTTGATACACAAGGGAAACTGTTGAGCGTGAAAAACCCGGCAGCGTTGCAGTTCTTGAAACAAACCAGTGTGCCTAGTACCTACTACCATACCCTGTTCAAAGTCACTTAAATATTTGTCTTTCCCATTCCCCGTCTAAATGGCACCCATACGATCCATGTATTCTTTGATTAGGTTTAACGGAGGTTGGCATCCAATAAATGTTGCATTACCGCCACCGACTAGACTGGAGTATCCAGTGCTTCAACAAATACCCTACCATCAAACCCTACACTCACTAAAATCCCACCACCCTACTCCACTATTTAAATCTATCTAGTCCTACCTCAGGCCAACAGCCTGAAAGGACGGACACCACCACTACTTAACACACCCTGTAACTCTACTGAAGTCAAGTCTCATACACCCAAATACCTAAATTTTAAATGCAGTTGCCACTGTTACCAGTGTGAAATGGCTAACCAGTTAGCGGTGCGCGCTAGTAGTGTTTCAATCGGTGGCGTCACTCGCTCTGAGACCTTGAAGTATTTGTTTCCCTTGCTCTGCAAGAGCAGTGGCTTTTGTGGAGCGATGGCTAAGGATCCTTCGAGGATGATTGTTGTCGATGTGTGCGGAGGATCCTTGGTTCAATTAGGGGCGAGGAGATGGACGGAAGCAAAACTGTTACACCACCACAACCTACATTTTCTGCAGTACAGTTGATAACAATTGCTATATACGCAAAACATCAAATCTTACTGAAGCATATATTCAGGGACACCACTTTGGTTTTAGAAGTGGGGGAGGCATAACCTGACGGGGGTCTGGGGGAGGTCCCTCCCCCATAATTTTTTTGGGCATCTAAAGCTCATTTCCTGCATTTTTACACAATCCAATATGCCATCTAGATTTAGAACAAAAAGTAAACAAAAATGCCCACACTCATCAAGCTAGGTAAGACATCCTCTATATTAAATTTCAGCCAGACCGACCAGCCAGCCCGAGCCGCCTGCACACCCGACCCCTACCAGTCTAGTAAATAACTAAACTCTCTCCCAACACAATTTCCTTCCCAGTTCACACCTTTAATTTTTTTAATTTCCAATGGAAAGGTTTGGAAACAAAACACACACACACACACAAAAAAACACATACACCTCAAATATACATTAACACACAGAAAACGCAAATCCTCCATATAATTAATCTTATAGGACTAATAGTACTGTAGAGCTCTTTTTACTTGCCCACAATATAGCTGGGTCGCCCCGTCCTGTCCCTAGCGCTCCACCACCCTGCAGCTCTTCAATCCAACACACCTCACTCAGCTTTAGGATCTTAGCAAAACATTCATTATATCACACCCTGATCTGTGTCACCTGTCTTTGTGGTCGTCCCCATTATCATGTATTTATACCTGCATTTTCTGTTTGTCTGTTGCCAGTTCGTCTTGTCCCGTCAAGTCCTACCAGCGTGTTCCCGTGTTTCCTGTGCTCTAGTTTTGATTATTCTTAGTCTTCCCAGTTCTGACCTTTCTGCCTGTTCTGACCCTCATCCTGCCCGCCGTCCTGTACCTGCCTGACTCTGATTTGGATTATGACCTTTTGCCTGCCTTGACTTACCTTTTGCCTACCCCTTTAACTATAATAAACTCTGAGACTCATACTATCTGCCTCCTGTGTCTGCATCTGGGTCTTAACCTGAGCCGTGATACATTATTGGTTTCGGGTATGTTAGCCAAAGGCCAGAGTGACAACCCACAGGACGGCAGATCCCCAGGGCCAGGACTGAGCAGCCCAGCAGCTAGGGATTGCCTAAATAGGTATCTCCCCTGACGTGGGCATGTTTTCAATACAGACTCCTTTTGACGTACTGTATTCCACATAAGGCATCCAGACCTTATGAAAGTTGCCAAGTATACCCTTAATCTTGTAATGAATCAAATCTAGTGATACATAACTTGACATTGTGGGAGGATAACCAACCTTCCAATTAATGGCAATGCATTACATAGCCGCTATAAATGCTTGGTTACACAGTTTCTTCAGATAACAGTCTCCAGTGTCAACATTTCCAAGCAAACAAAAACAGAGAGAAGGGAGAATCTGTAGACATGCTGAGATAAAAGAACATCCTCTTTGGCAGAATTCAGTCAGCCTTCACAAGACCATAACATATGCAAATATGTCCCGTTTATAACCTCCAGCAGAGGAATGACATTTCTGAGCGCATGCAATTCAGTTTCACTGGCATATAGTACGTTCTATTGATGGTGTTAAACTGCAGTAATTTATGTCTGAGATGAAATGAACTTGACTGGGCATTCAAACATATCTGTATCCATTCATCATCATATAGCTTCTACCAGGTCTTCCTCACATTTTTATTTTACATCAAATCAGATTGTATTTGTCACATGCGCCGAATACAACCTTACCATGAAATGCTTACTTACAAGCCCTTAACCAGCAATGCAGTTTTAAGAAAATAAGAGTTAAGAAAATATTTACTAAATAAACGAAAGTAAAAAAAAGTAACACAATAAAATAACAATAACAAGGCTATATACAGGGGGTACCGGTACTGAGACAATCTGCAGGGGTAAACGTTTTGTGTCATCGGAAAAAGCCTCTATGTCACGCCCTGGCTCTGGGTGTGTAGATCAATGTGTTTTGTGTCTATGGGTGCTATTTCTATGTTGGCCAGAGTGGCTCCCAATCAGAGGCAACGAGTGTCAGGTGTTGCTGGCTGTCTCTGATTGGGAGCCATATTTATACAGTCTGTTTTTCATTCGTGTTTGTGGGATTTTGTTTCTAGTCTGTTTATGGTAGACCGTGAACTGTCACGTATCGTTTGTTGTTTTGATCGTGTCTCGTAATAAAGAGTATGTTTGCCTGCAACGCTGCGCCTTGGTCCTCATCTGTTCTAGACGATCGTGACAGAAAATCCCACCACAACTGGACCAAGCAGCGAGTCGAGGAGCCATCGCCAGGGAAATCCCTAGCAGATCTCCGTGGCAGCCTCGACTGGGTCAAGCCGAGTGAAGAGCAGAGAGAGTGGACTTGGGAACAATGGAGGAAGAGCTTCGACTGGGTCTAGCCAATTGAGGAGCTGAATAGCGGGAGTTGGAGGCAGAAGAGCGAAAGTTGGGCGAGAACTATAGAGGCCTGGCCCACGGGGAGGAGAGACCCCCAGACATTTTTTAGGGGGGGGGGGCTCACGACGTCGGGGCAGCAGGAGGCCGCGATAGAGCGGTCCAGCGGGTTGGCAGAGGAGGCCGCCAGGTTACGGGGGCCACTGGTCGAAGAGGGGATGGAAGGTGTAGAGGCACGGCGAGAGGTACTGGGGTGTGTTACCAGTCCGGTCCGGCCCGTTCCAGATCCCGGTGTAGGGCCAGTGGGGTGTGTCCCCAGTAAGGTCCGGTCTGTTCCTGCTCCCCGCACCAAGTCAGTGGTGCGCTTCGTCAGCCCGGCTCGGCCCGTTCCTGCTCCCCGCACCAAGTCAGTGGTGCGCTTCGTCAGCCCGGCTCGGCCCGTTCCTGCTCCCCGCACCAAGTCAGTGGTGCGCTTCGTCAGCCCGGCTCGGCCCGTTCCTGCTCCCCGCACCAAGTCAGTGGTGCGCTTCGTCAGCCCGGCTCGGCCCGTTCCTGCTCCCCGCACCAAGTCAGTGGTGCGTTTAGTCGGCCCGGCTCGGCCCGTTCCTGCTCCCCGCACCAAGTCAGTGGTGCGCTTCGTCGGCCCGGCTCGGCCCGTTCCTGCTCCCCGCACCAAGTCAGTGGTGTGCTTCGTCAGCCCGGCTCGGCCCGTTCCTGCTCCCCGCACCAAGTCAGTGGTGCGCTTCGTCAGCCCGGCTCGGCCCGTTCCTGCTCCCCGCACCAAGTCAGTGGTGCGTTTAGTCGGCCCGGCTCGGCCCGTTCCTGCTCCCCGCACCAAGTCAGTGGTGCGCTTCGTCGGCCCGGCTCGGCCCGTTCCTGCTCCCCGCACCAAGTCAGTGGTGTGCTTCGTCAGCCCGGCTCGGCCCGTTCCTGCTCCCCGCACCAAGTCAGTGGTGCGTTTCGTCGGCCCGGTTCGGCTCACTCCTGCTCCTCGCACCAAGCCAGTGGTGTGCGTCATCAGTCCGGCACGGCCCGTGCCTGTTCCACTGGTGCCTGGTTCGGCACTGGTCAGATGTTTTACGCCGGGGCTAGAGCAATCCGCTCCATCAGTGTGCAGTCCAGCTCCGGCCAGCGGGGCCAGACCGGACCAGGGGTACTTTGGGGGGTTGGAGAGGGAGCGGGGATCAGGCCCGGAGCCGGATCCGCAGCCTAGGCGGAGTGCCCACCCGGTCCCTCCCCTGTGGTA